CATTAAGTCCACGCCTACTTCAACTATCCTTAAGAGGACTGAAAAAAGAATCATGACAAGATTAATAGGATAAAATTTTAAGAGACTATTTGAAAGTAACTTGTTCATGTTTTGACAGAAAAAAGTCCTGCAACTCCTGGGAGTTGTAAGCCTAGCTTTCTCTCTAAACATGCCCTTAATATCAATTTTAGTCACAGATATATAGTAAAGCTCAATCCATCTCTAAATATTCATTAGAGTGTTGAACTAAAACTTGGGAGATTCAATCATGGGTAACTGGGGTAGTCACTGATAGCTCCATGGTAACAAGACTTATGGTTAATTCTATATGCTATATCCAAAAATCTCTTTTAAGGTAGTCCAGAAGCCTCAGCAACCATGTAACTCTGCCACTGTTCTTTTTGTGTAATAGTTTTCCATGACTATTCACTTTTTCCATTCCGTTCTGTTCCGTTCCTTTCCAGTACATGCCCATGCCAATTCTGTGACAAGTCCTCTTGATTCACAAGCACTTGCTCTTTGATAGACATTAAACAGTGACCTGATCAGATCTTGGGCATCTGCCCTAGAAATGTGGAAAGGCTGTAAGGCATTCAAGTGGCATGATTAATTAAGCTTTGCTTTAAACGACTCCTATAGGGGTTGACTAAAGCAGGTGGCTTAATAGCAGAGAGTTTTAAGAAAGGGTACTTTCGTACATCATAAACGTGTTGCTGTAATATATGGTAGAAAAATAAGAATGCAATGTATTACACTAAGCTGTAGCCAAACATTAACACTCCTTTTAAATGAATAATAATTGATATCAGGGTGAACTTGGCAAAGCCATGGGCATAGCTCATGAGAACAGAGAGAAAATATATCTTGTTAGTGCTTACCACCACAAGAGAGACTAAGTTTTTGAGGCTGTTATTTTTTTCCTACCAAATGGATTTTGCCAAGAATATATAGTTAGGTAATGTCAAGTTGTGTAAACATCTTCATATGCCATTCCAGAGCACTAGCTATTGCAGAGCAGAGCAAAGCAAAGCAAAGATCCCACTTTGTCCAGCATTCTTTTCACACAGTGGGACATGTACACAACAGCGCACTCACACCCATGTTCTGCAGTGTACATTGGTATGCTTTCTGCCTTACTAGAAGTAGCATAATGGTCATCAGAACTTAATAGCCATTGATAAACTCCATGAATTTGTCCAATTCTCTGTTAAAGCCATTCAAATCCATGGACATCACAACATCTTGTGGCAACACAATCCATTGTCTAACCATACATTGTGTGAAGAAGTATTTTGTCCTGCTTCTCCTACTATTCAGCTTCATGGGATGACACCTTTGGGTTCTAGTATTATCAGAAAGGGAGAAATGTTTCCCTATGCACTTTCTCCATGCCCTAAGTAATTTTGTTCACATCTACTCACTCCTTTTCGAGTATAAACAATCCCAGATGTTATGGCTTTTCCTCATAGAGGCATAACAGCAGCCCTTTCATCTCTTCAGCTACTCTTTCTGAACTGTTTCTAATTGCACAATATCCTTCTGTTGGTTCAGTGACCGCAACTGTATACCATGTTCTAAGTGTGGTCAGACGATAAAGTAGTTTAAAGGCAATATGATCTTAGCAGTTTTATTTTCATTTCATTTCCTAATTATGTCTAACATGGAATTTGCCTGTTTTGCAGCTGGTGCATACTGGGCTGACATTTTCATTGAATTTTCTACCACAGCTCCAAGATCTGTTTCTTGATCAGTCACTGCTAATTTATATATTAAGCTGGGATTTTTTTGTCCTAATATGTATTGCTTTATACTTTTATTATATTGAACCACATTTGCCATTTGATGCCTATTCTTCCAATTTGGAGCGGTACTTTTGGCACCCCTCAAAACCCATTTTTGTTTTAACCAGCCAAATACTTTTCTGTCCTTAGCAAACAGCCATTCTGTTGCTTACCTTAATACCAGATAAGTTATGAATAACTGAAAAAACATTGATCCCAGTACCAGTCTCTGTGGAAACCCACCATTTCTATGTCTCCACTGCAAAAATTTACCTTTTATTCCTAGTCTCCTGTTTCCACTCTGTAACTGATTACTCATTCCCGAAAAGACCTCTCTTATCCCATGGCTGCTCAGGAGACTTTGGTGAAGGACTTTGTCAAAAGTATTTTGGAAGTCCAACTAAATAACTACTGGATCACCCCTGTTCACATGTTTCCTGACACTCTCAAAAAACTCTAAAAGCTTGGTGAGACAGAACTTACCTTTGCAGAAGTCATGTTGATTTTTTTTAGCAGTGCCGCCCTTCTGTATGCTTACTGATTTTATCTTTAATAATGCTTTCAGTCAATTTACCCAGAGCACACATTATGCTAACAAGCTTGTAATTTCCCAGATCCCCCCAAGATTGCTTTTTAATTGGCCATTCTCCCATCCTCCAGTACAGAGAATGACCTTAGGGACATGTTGCATATTTTTGTTAGAAGATCAGCAATTTCATATCTGAGTTCTTCAAGAACTCTATGATGGTTGCCATCTGGGGGTGGTGGTTTATTTATCTTCAATTTGTCAGTAGGGCAGAGAACTTCATCGTTTGTCACCAAGATTTTCTTCAGTTCCTCAGACATCCTTCTTGAAAAGTTACTTGTGGCCCATTAAAAATAAAAAATATGTGCCACAAGCTTTCATGGGCTAGAGCCCACTTTGCCAGCCATATGAAAAAATTATGTAGATCAGGAGTAGGCAACTTTTTGGAGCTCAGGACACATTTGAGAAACTGCCCTTGGTACCACCATAAATGACTAGGATAGTAACTGTTGTATAAGACTGCCTGAAAGACTGCATACAAGGCAGATGCGAGGGCTGCGTCCCAATATACTTAACTACTCCTTTGAACCCATAGTTTCCAGTACCAAAGGAAACCTATTTGACAGCAATCTCAGTTTCCAGTGTGAAAATGTTTTAAGTGGGGTGGAGGGTAGGGTAAGGCATCTTGGGACATGCAGAGAAAGGTATCCAGGGATGCATTAATGACCATGAATACCCCCTTGCCTAACCCTTTTCTGTAATAGTGTCTCATCTGTGGAACACCCTCCCAGTTGAGATCCTCCAGGCAACTTCTCTTTTTACCTTTAGATGCCAATTGAAAACCTTTCTTTTCCATAATTATTTTGGTGAGTTAGTTAAGTTGGTTTTACTATGGTTATCATATTGGCTTATTGACACTGCTGCCATGTTAAAAGAAATTTTAGCTGCCATTGTTTTAGGTGATTTTATTATGTGAATGTTGATTTTTATTATGTTTATTGTTCTATTTTATTGATTTATTATGTATTGTTTATATCAATTTGTTTTAATTGTTGCTGCCCAATGTAATGTAAGCCTCACAGCTATGGAGTGCAGCATACAAGTGCAACAAATAAATAGATACATACATAAATGACTCTGCTGTAAGTAACAGATATAGTTCTCATAACTAGAGGGACAAACTATATATGACATAGCAAAGCCAAAAGGAAGCTGGACTAGACAATCTAGTCTAGCAGTTCACTTTATATTTTAGGTGGTATAAATTTCAGCAGGACTTAACGGAATAATTTGCTGTCTTCAATGATGGACTGAAATCCACCAACTAGTATTGTATTAGGTAGGCCTGGATGGTGGTTGGGATGGGTGTGGCATGAATTATTTAACTAAGCATCGCAGTGGTCATAGAAGCTTTAATATCTGTGCTTCTAGTCTGATTAGTTGGAGTAGTGAATACTGGTTGATGGAGCAGTGTTCTGTTTTCATTGTGAGGGAGCATATTAGTTACCACCATGCATGTGTTGTTTAAGATTCTGTTACAATACCATAAAAGCATCATAGTTGTCTCTGGTCTTCCTTGTTTACCTTCTTTTATACTTACTCGGTTCTCAATAGGAATGGCCAGCTGCTACCTTGAGGTTTACAGCAAATGCATGTTTGTAATACATGGAGGGTGTTGCAGGAAGAAATATCTTTTCTTTCATGTTGTAAATTACAGCATAATATTTCCTTGCCTGGATGATTTTACACTGTTTCATAAGGGAGGATGAAGATAATGCAAATAACTAGGATGGATTCATGTCCGCCTCCCCCTAGCTTTAGATTTGCTTTCCTGTGGTGTTTTTGTCAGTGACTTTCATGTTATTGTGAGCTAAACATTTTAAGCCTTGCCAGAATGAAATCTTTTCCATGATGATACTGCTAAGCTTGCTTTGTGTTCCTGTGATTCAAAAATTCCTTTTCCAAGTTGCTTTTATCGAAGACCTCCAACATGCTTAAAGATTCACGTGGCTAGATGCTTTACAAGTATCATGGCCTCAACCTAGTATGGCTTTCTATGCCCTCTGAAATTACATATTTCAGAATGTTCAGTGTCAAGAACTGAATGAAGAGGAAGAGGTAGGTCTCTCAGATCTCTGATAATTTACTCTAGGTAATTGTTTTATAGCATTCACACAAGTTGACCCAGTTGATACGCATTACTATATTTGTTACACTTTGGACTCAGAACCAAATAGAGCTCTAAAATTCATTTTGATCCAAAACTTACTATACATTTCTGTGCCCATCTCTGTATTTAGTCTTTCAAGATATAAATAGACTCCCTGTTGTAGCACATAGGACTGTGGGTCAGCCAGTACATCAAAGCCAGTCACCCTGTTAGCTGCTATCTACGTCAAGATCCCTGTGCACAGTGACTCACCAAATATCTGGGCAAACTATTTTCCTAGCTATTTGTACTGGCATAAGTAAAAAAAAAAATACTGCTCTTTGCCAATGAACAGCTTCTAGAGTAGCCATGTGCCCTCCCATTTTGTTTTACAGAAGACAGCCTTATGTTTGAAGCTGTTCTCTAGTTGCCTGACCCAAGTCTTGTTTAAAATTGAAGCACCATAAGAATAGAGGTTTGTTAATTTGATTTTTCCATTATTTTGCAAAAATCTATATCATTTAAAGAACTATCTTTTTTTCAGGTTTCCTGGAATTCTCCATTTATCCCAAATGGAGAAATACTGAGTTATGAGATCCGCATGCCAGATCCTCGAATAACTCTTACCAGCAACTTGTCATCATCAATGAGCCAGATAGTGACCAACCTGGTCCCTTTCACAAACTACTCAGTCACCATAATAGTTTGCTCTGGAGGTGGTGACTACATTGGAGGATGCACAGAGAGTCTACCTACGTTCATGAGTACCCATCCAACACTTCCCCAGGGTCTTAGCCCTTTGTCTGTGATCCCAATCAGTGAGTCATTTATTGCTGTTTCCTGGCAACCACCATCCAGGCCCAATGGACCCCACATAAGGTAACATGCAGTGATACATGCAACTGTATTGCAATATGTGCTTCTGTATTTCTTAAGAAAATTTGCTTTTAAGCTCTGTCCCATTCTTATACCAGGTTACCAGAGGCTTCTGAAATAAGATAATCATTAATGACAAAGAAGCCTATTTAAAAGATTTCTTGCCCACCACACTAGCAGGGGGATGATGGGTATTTATAAGATATATTTTCAGTTTATGTGATGATCAGTAGTATAAAAAGCTTCCCAATATAAACTGCAAGATGTTTCACAGCTAACAAATGAGTGTGGAATAATTGCTAGAATGTCCTGCCTCAACAAAGTTCATCTCTCTGTTATGCAAACACAAAGCTAATTGCAATAGAGAAGTCAAAGTAAGCCAATAGTCAAGCACCATATACCAGGAAAACATGGGTTTCCCAGAGAGATGTCAGAGACATAGGCAAGGTCAAACACAGAGGATATCTGTCAAGTATAATCAGAGTTCCAAAAAGCAGCATCAGGCAGAACTCCAAAGGTCCATAATACAAGTAAGGGTACAAATAAAGAGCTAAAGCAAAGGCATTATTTCTAGCAAAAGCTAGACCTCACATGTGGGTTTATGTTACCAGAGCCTCCTTAGCCCCACCCAAGGCTTGGTTGCAATATATTACAAGTCTGTCCACTTGTCCTGATGTGTTTCCTTCTTTCAAAGAATTCTGCTTTGGACCTAATGATTCTTCTTACATGAATGTTACTGATTTGCTTCTCAAGAGAATGACACTTTCCAGTAATGGAGCCTTTGTTCCTGAATCAGTACTCATTTCCTCCTACAAGAATAAACCTGCAGACTTCTCCCCAAGAAATCACGCTGTTTTGAGATGGATCTATCCATGGTGTCATCCATCTCTAGGAGCTCTAACAGTTTGGAGTGGGAAGATTGCTTGAAAGGGTTCTTGACAAGAAGTGAAAACAATTAATCTGTAGTACTTAGCTCTGTTTGTTATAGTCCAGAAATAGAACTCTGCATCTGTGGTGATGCACATTTGAAATTATGCCACGAAATATTTGAGACCATCCATTTTGTAATGTGTTCTTTCCAGGGAATTGGGATTTCCTAGTTTCCTGGAAATTCAGCAACCTTACACTAAGGCCCAAAGGCCTTTTTATTGAGTTAATGCTGGTTAGTATTTCAGTGAAGCAAGAAAAAGCCGCTACAGAATTCTTGGGTGGAACAGTAGAGAACTGGTGTATGAGGGTCTGTTGATGTATAATGTATTTGGAGAATCAGTGTAAAAGCCACCCTCTTCATGATTGTTCCAGCACCTTCTCTGTCTCTAACAGTGACCAGCCAGCAGCAGAATGGAAACCACTGGCAGAATAGTTTCTATATCATATCTTCCCTGGAGGGTTGGAGGACACTCCACAGCAGATTTTTGGAGCACATAGTTGGTTACAGGGGAGAGGAGAAAAAGAGAACAAGTCCCATTTTATCTGTGGATATCTGCTTTGTGCAACATTGGATTTAACATACAGTCTGCAAAGACATTACATATCACTCTATCAGATAGAGTTACTTTTCTTGTGCCTTCTAGACGTTTTGGACTACAATTCCCATAAGCACCAGCCAGTGTGGCCAGTGGTCAGGACTGAAAGGAGCTATGATCCCAAATAATTGGAGGGTGCCAGATTGTGGAAGACTGGCCTAGGAATAAGAAAGTGAGAAGATACATCTACATATGCGCTGAGATAATCCTATTGTTCTTGCCTAATATGCAACTATGACATACCTGCAGTAAAATAACTAGACACATATAGTATTATAGATAAGAATATAATAAGGCAGTTTTAAGTCTGTTTTGGAGAAGCAATTCACACTTCTATACATTTCTAGTGATAGAAGTAATACAGCAAAACTTGCACCTGTAAACTTCATTTTCTTCATGGTGTGCCATATGGCTTCCAACCAGAACAACCATTCAAGCTGTTCAGCACAATGTGATAGAGAGAAAAGTGGTTTGGGCAGCCACCACCACCGAAGGGGATTTTTATACAGTTACTTGCCAAGGCTTTAAAAGATTTCCCATGCCTTCCCCATCAAATTACAGAGAGACCAACCAGAACTAAATATTTCTGGATTTTTATGGAGGGAAGGCAGTTCTATTGGTGTTGATAAACTAATAGCATTGAAATAGTTCTTTTGATGAGAAAACAGCAGAATATTTTGATGATGTTAACATTGGAATTCAGTTTTTAGCTGTTTTCTTGCAGACTAGAGATGATGAAAGTGTATGAAGGGAAACCAGCTTTCAGTCTACAAATGAACTGAAGTCAGAGTACCTGAAGTTGAATTTCTTTAGTTCCATTGATTTCAATCCAACCCTACATCTTAGGCCCAAAGTATTTATTACATAATTCACAACTCATTTGTTCCAGTGCCAATCTTAAATAACTTGGTATTTTTAACTCCTTTTTTAATTTCCAAAATCTAAATAAAGCCATGTATGCATGCATTTCACTGCATCTTTCCATTCCTTCATCTATATTACTAATGTGTACATGTGCATTGATTAAAGCAAACATGCTTTGACATAAATTTATGCATAATTAGATTGAAGTTCTTCTGTGTATGTGCATTGATCAAAGTTGAACTGTAAGATTCTGTATCCATCAATATTATTTTGTGAGACAGTTGCTCAGTGTACATGTGTGCATTAGTAAAACATGGCAGAAGAAAAAAAAATCTTAGTGCAATCATCTGTACAACACATCAGCATAGCTTTTTTGCAGGTTTTACAAATGGGCACATATGCAATGATGAGGCAGAAATAAGAAAAAATGCAAATAAAATAACTAGAACTGCAGCAAACTTAAGGATACTTCAGGAATTCATTTAGTTTGGTTTCCAAAGCAAAATCAGCTGATATGTGTATGTATGTGTATGTGGTGTGTGTGTAATTATTATATTTCTGTGCTGCCCAACAGCCAAAGGTCGCTGGTAGTTTACAGCAGCAGATAAAATACAATATAAAATACAAAATGACAATAAAAGCATCATAAACTATAATGCAAAATTTAAAAGTTAAATTTTAAACCAAATGCTAAAAGCTGCTATAGCTTACACAAATTAAGTCACCTTTTAAGCAGTTGACATGGGGGGTGGGGCTGCCATTGAGATGGCCCTTCTTGCTGCCACCAAGCAAGTCTCCCTCAGAAGTGGCAATCAAAGGTAGGCCCCAGGCCTTGATCATCATGTCTGGGCAGATTATATTTGGAAGAGACATTCCATCAGCTATTGTGGTCCAGTCCAGCACCTTATATTGGGTTCAGAAGCATATAGGCAGCAAATGTAAGCATGGCAGAATGGGTGTTCTTTGTTTTGAACCTTCTGGTTCCTGTAATTAATCCGACTTGCAAGTTTTGCATAATCTGCTGGTTCTACATGTTTTTCAAGGACAGCCTCATGTAAAGTGCATTTAAGATTTAAGATTAGGGGCATACCTTTGCCAAAACTGGTAGAAGGTACTCCATGCCACTGAGGTCACCTCAGTGGCATGGAGTACCACTGAGTAACAAAGTAACAAAGGAGCACCCCCAAGCTACAAACCTGTTCTTCCAAGGGGAATGTGACACGGAACAGTTTGAATTTCCTCCATCAAGTTCACCTTGAAGTAACATCCATTGGACTGAGCTTTCATTTGTAAGCCCTCATTCAGTCCATTTTTATTACCAGCACCAGTTTAGTACATCCACACCCTTACCTGAGAAATAGAGCTACATGCCTTAAGTAGACTGAATGGATTCCAAAACTCTGGATGATGCCAATTAGTGGTCTCCTGTAGATGTTAAATAGTATAAGGGACAAGACTGGTCCCTAGTGAACCCCATCCTGGAAAATCCAAGGGGCTAAGCAATATTCCCTGACCACCTCCTTCTGGAGCTGACTGTCCAAGTACGAGTGGAACCACTGCAGTACAGTACTCCCTACTCTCACCTCAAAGAAGGATTCATGTTTGATGGGATCAAAAGCTGCTGAGATCCAGGAGTTCCAACATGGTTATGCTCCTCCTCCTCTCTCTCTAAGTATAGTTCGTCATACAGGGCAACTTTTAACTTACGTGTCCATATCATGTGCTTTTCCCTGTACGTACACTTCAATCGTTTACATTTGGAAAGTCCACTTTTTATAAAATAAAGTGTTGTCCTGTGCTTTTTTCAAATGTATGCATTTTATATGTACAAAAGAACATACATGATTTGGAACACATTTTTTCTTGTGAAACTCACACCTGCAGGCTTGGACTTCCGACCACATGTGTTCAAGTCTGTGTTAGGTTCTTGGGTGTGTGTATTAGCTAAATTTTGTTGAAAAATGAACTCCAACAAATTTCTCATATATCCCTTTCTACAAATGCCCCTGGGAGTCACAGGACATGATGAAATGCATGGAAAAAAAGAGATGTCTATCCCCATATGCCCAATCAATTTTCTTTTTCATACAGCATCCCTGGGTTGGTGCTTTCCTTCCTGATACATTGTATAGAAATAAACAAAGATAGATGGGTCCAAGTGGAAAGCCATCTTTGTTTCCCATACAGTGTCCCTGGGTACAGTGCACATGAATGGCAGCCAGTCTCTCTAGTCACTTGGAACAGTTATTACCTGTAAAAAGAGAGAGGGAAAGGAACATGTACCTTTTATTAAAAGACAGCCCTAGGACCTGTTGTTAAGTCCTTTTTTAAACAAGTTAAAAAAAACCTGGAAGAATTTAAAAATAGCAAATATGAAAACTGACTTTATAAAGTGAGAACCGGTGTGTTTTTGTGATGGACTGGGGACCTGGGAGATCCAAGTTCTAGTCCCCACTCAGCAGTGAATCTAACTGGGTGACTTATCCCCAGTCACAGACTCTCAGCCCATTGTACCTCACAGGATTGTTATTGTGAGGATAAAAATGAAGTGGGAAGAACTATGTAACCTGTCATGGGTTCCTTACAGGAGGAAAAATGTGGGATATGAATGCGGTATAGTAGCAGTAGCAATAAGAACCACATGTGAAAGTCACGAAAGATATTTGACTGCATCATCCATTCGTAAGCAAACTGTGCAGGGGTCAATCATATAATTAATTTTAGAAATTCATTTAATTAAATCAGAATTATGGAGCAACAAGTGGAACTGGCAACAAAGTCAGCCAGCTTGCCCCATGCTTTTCTATTCACCTTCCATCAAAGAACATTATGGTAACAAGTGGCTTTTATACAAATTGCATGGATGGATGGATGGATGCATGCATGCATGCATGGATGAATGAATGAATGAAGCAGCATTCCATGGCTACAGAGCATGCTCAGTCCTCTCTGACTTATTTGGGAGGCTTCGCTTCCGTTAAGGGTTGTTTTGTTTTGTTTTCCTTTTTTAAATAATTCTGCAAATTGTGGCTTTCTTGAGCTTGTGGGAGGCTTTTCTTGTGTGTGGTGCTGCTGCTTTGGTCACATAAATTTTGGCTTTCAGCTTTGGCATCCTCAGTAGAAGGACTGAAGGAATGCAGGGCAAAGAGAAGCCAAAGAACAATGCTGAAATGGAATGGGAGAAGTGCGTATTTCTAAATGTGGCTGCTTACAATTACAGTTTCTAAATTGTTTCATGAGAAATCATACTTAAACAAATATTAACTGGTTTACATTTGCAGTGTGGGTGCTGCTTTTAGAAAGAATATCAAAGATCCCACCGAGATTTCCTTCTGTGACTTAAGGCTTGCTGTCCGAAAGAAGTTTATCGATGGAAACTTCAGTCAAGTTATTGTAAAAGGTTATGCCAACGTTTAATGTCATAAGCCATTAAACACTCTCAGAATCTTTCTTCCTAATCAAGGAAGTGTTACAAAACATATAATTGAGTCTCAAATCCTAAAACATTGCATTTACATATTACAGCTGTAAAAACAAAATAATATGTGACTTTTAAAAACAACCTGATTTTTCTTTTTTCTTTTTTTGGTAATAACATTAGTTGAGATAATCCCAGCATTCTGCTTGTCTTTTGTGTTAGGTATGAGCTCCTGAGACGTAAAATCCAGCAGCCACTTGCATCAAATCCCCCTGAAGATTTAAATCTCTGGCACAATATTTACTCAGGAACTCAGTGGTTTTATGAAGATAAGGGTCTTAGCAGGTGAGATTACAAAAAAACTATAAAAAACAAATGCTAGCATTTTGTATAGCCCACGCTTAATAGTTCAAAGCGTTCCTTGTGTCTCTGTGTTGTGAACATGTTAATTATGTAATGGAATATTTTCTGTCATCTCCTTTGGTATTAGCCTTTATTAACACACCTGTGATTTTTGTTTGTTGCTATTTTGTAACCCCTGTGTTCTGAATGCCATTTCATTTTGCTTTTTCTCCTCCCAAAACATACCACTCTCAAGAAAGTGAAAATTGAACTGTTGGGGGTACTAAGCAAGCAGTTTGCAAGTATTTAATTTTAAAGAGAAATTGGCTTGCTTATTGGCAAGGGACATATCAGCATAGGGGGAATCAACCCTGTAAATCAGTGATGCGTCAAGTCTAGGGAGCCTTGGGTTCCTTGGAAGTTTACTATTTCTTGATGGAATCATATGTAATTTCCCCACACACATCTGAGAATTTCTTGTTAACTAAAGAAGCCACTGAGAATTGCCAATGGGGGAGCAGTGTAAGGCATCTTTTTTCAATTAAGCCAGTTTTCTACCTCCAAATAGCATCCCATCTTCTTTCAGTCTTCTGCAGGGAATGACAGAGGTATCAATTTCTCCTCCCTCTCTCAGGGAAGAGAACAGAGGACCCTTTCCTGAGATAGTCAACCATGATAGCTTTTACATATTTCCTAGTCATGGAATCAGACTGTCTGTTACATGAATCCTGTTGCATCCTGTAGATGACTCACTTGTTTATATTTACTTAAAGTATATGTGTGGTGCTCTGATCAATTCCGGGACCACCATGCACTCACTTCAAGTTAACACACCTGCCTGTCCCTGGAGAAGCAGTGACTGTGCTCCAGAGGTGGGACCTTACCACCAGCAGCTACTTCATGGAACCAAGACCAAGGCAGCAGCTGAAGGGCAGTGCCAAAGGGCATCTCCTGTTTGGTGCCCGGGTGTTGGACTTTGGCGGAGGAAGAGGGCACTGCACAGCAGTTGCTATTGCTGAGGTCACAGGTAGGAGGAAGAATGGCATTGGGTGATCAACAAAAGAGGGGCTAAATAATTCACAACTATCCCCTTTTCTGGTCCTTCCCCTGTCAGATAATTCTTGGCAGTCTTTCCATCTTACCCTAAGGCTTGGTCCTTCTGCAACTGAATGCCAGGTTGGCCCAGAATAAGAACCCCCCCCCCACCACCCCCATTCATGACTTGATTGTTGATGAGGGAGCTGACCTGGCTTGTGTCACTGAAACCTGGGTGGCTGAGCTGGGAGGGATTACTCTCTGTTATGCCCCCTGGGTACTCAGTACAGCGGCAGCATTGACTCAAGGACTGGGGTGAGGGTGGCGGCTGTGATCTATAGGAATATGATCCCCTCTCTAGGCTTCCTGTTCACTCAAGTGTGGGTCTTGAGTGCTTGTACCTTGTGCTGAGTGCCCACCCTGCTGCACATCAAATTCCCTGCCTGACCTGATGGAGGTGGTCTTGGACCTGGTGATGTGGACTCCCAGGCTGATAGTTGTGGCATCTTACATTCAATGCTGAGGCTGCTTTATCTGGGGAAGCTCAGGACCTCATGGCTGCAATGACAACCATGGGGCTGTCTCAACAACTCAGTAGTGCAATGAATTTGCACAGCACTTTGAAGATAAATTCTCTCAGATGTTATGAATTGGACACTGAATGCAGTTCCACCACAAAGACATCCAGAGCACTGACTGTTTTATTGGACCAGCATCCAATAAAACTTATATGCTTGCCCTTTGCCCCTCATGGCTTATTACAACAATTAAGGAAGGACTCTCTACTTGAGTTCAGGAGGCTGTAAATGCCTCCTTGAGAGAGGAAGTGGTGCCAGCTTCTTTAGAAGAGGCTGCAATTAAGCCACTCCTGAAAAAGCCTAACCTGGACCCAGAGGATGTTAACATCATCCAGTGGCCAACAATCCCTTCCTGGGCAAGCTGCTTGAGGGGGTGCAGCTGAACAGCTCCTGGCACTCTTGAATGGAATGGATTATCTATACCCATTTCAATCAGGTTTTGGGCCTGATTTTGGAAGGAAAACTGCCTGGGGATGACCTTTGCAGGGAGAAAGGTGTGGGGACTGCAACCCTCTTGATTCTCCTGGACCTCTCAGCAACTTTTAATTTCATCGACTATGGTATCCTTCTGGATAGGCTGGCTGGGCTAGGAGTAGGAAGCACAGCATTGCGGTGGTCTCACTCTTACTTGGCCAGCCAATTCTAGAAGGTGGTGCCATGGGATACCACAGGGCTCCATTTTATTGCCTATGCTATTTAACATCTGCATGAAACCACTGGGGTGGTTAACCAGAGGCATGGGCTGAGATATCACCAATATGTGGATGACACTTAGCTCTACCTCTCTTTTTAATCAAACCCAGGTGAGGCAGTGGATGCTCTGAATTAGCATCTGAGCATGCTAGGGATTGGATGAGGGCCAAAAGACTGAAACTCAATCCAGACAAGATTGAGCAGCTGTTAGTGGGTGATTCATTCATCCAGTTGGGTGATCTTAACCTGTTCTGGATGGACTTGTACTGCGTCTAAAGGGGAAAGTTCATAGTTTGGTGATGCTTCTGGATCTAGCACTATCACTTAAGGAACAAGTGGACTCAGTGGCATGGAGCACCTAGCTGTCCAAATCAGACCTATCTGGACAGACAGAGCCTAGCTATAATAATCCATGTTCTGGTAACCTCTCATTTGGATTACTGCAATGTGGTTTACATGGGACTGTCCTCAAAAATGGTCCCAAGACTTCATCTGATCCAAAAAAAGGCAGCAGAATTATTAATGGGCACTGGCTTATGAAAACATATTATGCCAGTCCTCTTCCAGCTTTACTGGTTGCCAGTTGAAGTCCATGCCTGATTCAAAATGCTAGTATTAGCATTTGAAGGCCTAAATGGGTTGGTGCCAGGTTAGCTGAAGGAATGTGACATCTCATGTACCTACCTGGACCCTAAATCATCTTCTACCTGGAAGCCTCTTCCAAAGGAAGTAAGGAGGGTGGCTACCAGGAGAAGGGCCTTTTCAGTTGTGGCACCACTGGCATGGAATGAACTCTCGAAAGAGGTGTACCTGGTACCTACTCTGTATTCTTTTCAGTGCCAGGTGAAAACCTTTTTATTTCCCAGTATTTTAACAGTTAATCTTTTAAACTTCAGTTTTAATATTAGATTTTATTCTGTACTTTTGCTATACTTCTGTGTTGATTCGGTTGCAATTACTGTGGTTTTATTGTCTTATTTAATTTATTTTTTCTCTTTAGTGCTTGCATTTTTAACTTTTGTTAACTGCCCAGAGAGCCTCAGCTATAGGGTGGTATAAAAATGAAACAAATAATAAAACCAAGAGGGTCAGCTGCATTCTGTGTAATTAAAACAAGTTGCAATTTCCTCCTATCCATAAGAGTCCTCCCCATGAGGTAAACCAGTAAATTAAAGTGCCTGGGTACCATTTGTGGTTTGGAACCTGTGTGTGAAATCCATCCAATCCATTGTCCCATTGAAATGTGGAATTTGCCATGTTTGATCAGCCAGTCCATATGCAAACAAGAAGCCAAACACACCTGAAAGGGTACTTTCAGTCCTGAGAGTCTTTTGCATTATGTGTTTAACCCCATCCTATGTATGCCTAAATTACTGCTTTGTGGGCCTTGCTTGAATTTGACACCAGTTTCCAGGTGACAATCATCCCTAAAACTCCAGATTTCCTCAAAAGTGTCCTTTTCCACCCACAATTCAACATAGTATTGGCTAGAAGAGGTCTTGGTCTTGGACTAATGCTTTCTCCTGTGCCACTCTCAGCATCCTCTTTAATTGCAATGTGTTACTGGCTGCAAACAATTTCACCTTAGTGAAGTTTTGATATGTGAGTGGGGAGTTTGGGTTTAGGAATCTCTTCTAAATCTCTGAGCATTGAACTGAACTGCCTGTGTGCAACTTGCATATATTGAGGCTCTGCTCAGAGGTTCAGCTGAGTATGTGGAGATCAGGAGTCTGGGAAAGCATATGCTATCCTCTTCCCAATGTATATGGAACAGTATGATAGGAGAGGAAAGGAATGGTTTTCCTCATTATGTCTTTAAAACCAAGTTTATGGGTTCCTTTAAAACACCAGTATATATGGTGTTTTATACCTTTAAAACATCAGTATATGCACAGATATCCTTCAGCTGTTCTTACAACAGACATTGTACATCCTGCCAGAATGGACCCAGCTACATTATTTGAGATATTAGATTATTATCTTCGGTGTGATCAGCTGACGAAGCAAGAGGCAAATACTGTTACAATGGGATGTAGAACTTCAGATCAGTGGTGTTCCCAAAAGAGAAAAAAGTACTGTTGAATCAACTTTGTAGCCAAACACTGGCAGCTTGCCATTGCTTTAATTGCATCTTGAATTGAGCTATAATCTCTCACTACTTTGGAAAACAATAGCAATTCTATATAGTATTTCATTTTGCTGTTACCGTACTCTTGTGGTCAGATATTTCAAGCAAACCTGCTATTCTTTCCCCTTGGATTCAGAATAAGAATATCAATTTTTATGTTGGCTGAACAATATTTCATGTTTAGCATGCCAGAATTCTTCAGAATATATCAGACCTATTTCTTTTAATATTTAACCATCTTCTTTAGGTACACAACATATGAATATAAGCTTATAGTGCACAATGATGTAGGGTATACATCAAGTAAAGAAGTGATTGCTACAACATTGGCAGGCTTTCCAAAGAAAGGAAGTAAAGTAACAGCACAACCCCTGAACCATACTGCTATAAAAGTGGAGTGGTCCACACCAAGTAAGTACCCTCATTATCTGTAATATTAAAGAACTGGTTCCCATGTACTTGTGCAGCACTGAATTCCTCACCATTTAATGACAGACAGCTGAATGTGTGACTATTAACATTTTTTGCATACAAAGTGATGTGAAAGTTTTATCAGCGCTGTTAGACCTATACTGGCCCATTCACATATGAGATCCAAATTCTTGAGTGATGTTGCCTTTATTAAGTATAGATCATGCCTGCAAGCATCAGTTCATTTTTGTAACGTTAACTATGTTGCTAAGGTGAGCAATGCAATTATTAGTTTGTCCTACTTTCAAGCAAAATAGCTTGGAAATTATAAAATCTGGAAAGAAAGTTGGCCTTTTATACTCTAAATTCCTTTCCTTTCCAGCCCACTTTCTCTGTCTTAAGCCCCATGCCTTTTATAAGTTATATATTTACAGTTTCTAGGCATTTATAGATATATGTCCATAGGTTCTCTCCATGCAGAAAACGTGTTTATTTTATTTATTTTTTAAAAATGTATGCCATCCATTACTGTTGTCTCTGGACGGTTTACAACATTATTATATCTTATATCTATAATGTATAAGAATGAGCTGTATTTGGTACACATTCAGTTTGTTTTAAAACAAATGCTAAAAGGAACAAATCTGTGCCCTTTCACTCAATTTGGGATTGGGCTATGGCTCGCATAGAGTGGGGGCTGTGTGGGACTGAGGCCAAAGGAAAGAATTGTCTTCAGTTTAGCTTCCCTGCTGTGTTTTGTCACTGGTGGTTGACAACCTTGTACTTGGTTCATGCTTCATTAGTTTATTTATTTATACATGTATTTATAGGATGCCTATAACTGCCAAGGCCATCCTAGGCGGATTACAATACATATGTAAACAAAGTAAAACGTATTAAAACGTATTAAAACACAATGAATTAAAACATCTATAAAAACAATATAAAAGGGGCCACAGCATTTAGCATAAGTGTTAAAAAAATTTAAAAGGTATGCCTTTGCCTGGTGCTGAAAAGAAAATAAAGATGGCGCCAGGTGAATTTCCCTAGGGAGGGAGTTCCAAAGATGGGGTGGAGCAGCGGAAAAGGTTGCTGGTTTCCCCCCAAGTCTTTCTTTACTCTGATTTGTCACTGCTGGCAGTAGGAGGAACAGATTTCTCTAACCATTTCTGATGCCTGCTATTTCGTTTTTCCAGAATGCCCCAGGCATTGCATCTTCCAAGAGAAGATGAGGTTGTGGGAACCACCCACCAAGGTGCCATGTATGTGTGCGCAATCTTCCTTTCTGCCTGCCTGCCTGATTTTCTTTCTTTTGCAATGGTCTTCATTTCTTTGTGATGGTTGCCAGTTTTTTTTCAGAATGAGTCAATATTTGGGACAATCTGGGAAAAATAAAGAGCAAGTACCAGGAATAATACAGAATGCAGCTTCTCCCACCACTGTTTTTGTTGGCAGAAACTCTGTGTGTGTGTGTGTGTGTGTGTGTGTGTGTGTGTGTGTGTGTGTTTAATAGATATGGGGGAAGCTGAAAATAAGTGAATGTGCCAAACCAAAATGAATGCTGAACTATTTGAGGAAGGGGTAAAAGAGGGACATTGAACTGGTTTTGTATAAATTATGTATGTGGTGAGGCCTATTAAGCAAGAGAGCAGAACTTGACCATAATGTATAGAAGCAGTGATTCTGAATACAGCAATTAATTCAACAACTATTTACTGTTCTAGATGCATTTCAAGCTGCTGCAATGTTAACAGATAAAAATTCTGAGCATACTATGGCAAAAATTCAGTGCTATTAAGGTTACTCTGATGGTTCAAAAGCCAGTATTTCTCTTCAAACTCTGCTTTGTTACCAAGGGAGTTATGGATTTTTTTGTATATGCAGATGTACATTTGCGCTGTGTCATCTTAAAAGGAACATATCCATTTAATCCAGATTACCTGTCCATCAAAGTAGTGGGTTAATTCTTTGGGATGTACATGCAAATCTGTCTGTAAGCACTTGCTAGTGCCTCTCAGCAAATATAGGCTCCTTATTTTATAATTGGATGGCTGAAGTAAGCATGCTTATAAAAACTGACAAACCTAATAGATCTGAAGCAGGCTGCTGAAGTTTCATTACTTTAGTAATCTGAACCTCTGACCTTCTAGATAGAGGTAATGCAATCTGGCTTCATTTTCATTCTTACTGCAGAAATTTTCTAGATATCTGTTTATGAATGCAAAGGTTAAACATCAAGTGAGGGTCATTAGAGCAAACCCTCATTTATTCTTTCATTGCTGAAATGCATTACACTAGGCAAACTAAGCAATCTCCCTTCTTCCAAATGTTTTTATTTTGTCACAGGGGTAGAAAAAGTCCCCAATAACTAGATCACTTGAAAATAACTGGTTTTATGTCTTTGTTGCCAATGGGATCTAGATGTTTAGGAAATACAAATCATGTTAATATTGCACTACTGGAATAAAATAGAAATAAAAACCTTATGTTGAGATGGTCCAATGCATGGCCCGCAGGCCACATGTGGCCCTGAGGCCTTTTCTGAGGCACTCTTGATGCTTGAACCCCGCTGAGGCTCAGGAAGAGAGTGGGTCAGGCTGGCAGCCTCATGAGAGCTTACCCCAGCATGCCTTGTGCCTCTCCAGCTGATGCACTGGAGCTGAACGCCCTTGAACTCCTCACCCTGAGTAAACAGAGCATGCTGGGGAGAGTTTGCTGGCTCAAGTACAAGAGAATCAGCACGCCAATTCTAAGAAGGAAGTAAGGGCTGGGGGGGGTGGTCACATGAGGGGGTTTCTGGGTAGGAGAAACAGGAAGAAAGGGATGGGTCACCCCAGAGGAATGGTCATTTTGCTTGGGCTGTGGTCAGAAAAGTTGCTGCCTGTGATCTCTGTAGAAAGCCAGCTCCCCCTTCCAAGGTCAAAGTACTGCCTGACTTTGGAAATGTTTCTTGATCCATCCTCCCTAAAGGAGGTAAAAAGGACATCTACTGGGAACAGGGCCTTCTCTGCGGTGGTGCCCAGATTATGGAATACATTTCTCAGTGAGGTTCGCCTGGTGCCGAGCCTATACTCTACGGCGCCAGGTTAAAACCTTTTTATTTAATCATTATTTTAAAAATTAGTATTTTAATCATTTTAAAGTTGCTTTTGTTTTGTTTTGATTGGGTTTATCTGTTCTGGTTTTGATAATTTTATTGTATTGTTCTGTTTTATCAATTGTTTTATGGTTTTGCTTTTATTCATGTAAGCCGTCCTGAGATGCGATAGTGAAGGGCGGCATACAAATGTTAATAAATAAATAAATCCTAAGGTCTCCAAGGTTCTTGAACAGGGACCATAGCACTGCAGTGTAAGTACCTTTAGGCTTATGACAAATTTCTATGTCGATGATCTAATTGAACATTTTATCTGAAAATGTGTTTGCCTTTAACTTGCAGTGCTAATGCTGTCCTGTTTCTTGGCTGTCTAGATGGTGTTGCCCATTTGGTATTTAGCTTAGCAACCAGCCAAAAAGAGGTGCTTCTCCTTTTGCTTTCACATAACAATAACAATAGAAATAGGCTAGGTTAGAATACTGCGCATCAAGGAAATGCGACTTCATAATAGGAAGTGACTCCAAACTGAATATCTTTCCTCCCTTCCAAACGAGAAAGGGCTGACTGCACCCTCAAGACAGGTCATGCTACAGCTGGGCCAATCACTTGGAGCATCACACTCTTCTCACCCTCTTAAACTGACTCCATATAATTTGATTAATTATACAACCACCCATATTGGCTAGCTCACTAGACTTTCCTACAGAACTTTCATAGAGAAGGGGAACCAAAGCTATCTCTGTCTGAAAAACAGGCCTGAACCCAGAATGAAATGGGTTGAGATACTGTATGTTCCAAAAATGTATGCAACTGCACAGCTGCCACCCTCTAGCCCCTTGCATTAAAAAGTGCATTAACAACCAGAAAACAGTTCACATAATCTGCTAGATCCAGGGAAGGCTTTTTCAGGCATGAGTGCACCAAGGCCTCCTTCAAGGTGGTAGGCACTGCTCCATAATTCAGAGACACATTCATGAATTCCTGGATCCAGCTGCTTAGCTTGATTATGCCTGGATGGGCAAGGCTTGAATGTACATGTTTTAGGTGAAAGAGCTACAAGTTTTGTCTTGTCCATATCTTTAGGCCTCAAAAACCGAAACTGATTCCATATAATTAGAATTATATAGATAGAAAGCAGCGTTCAAGCTGGCATGAAAACAAGGGATTTCATTATCAACAGAAGTGCTTCACAAAATTATTACAGCAGGCTTCTAACATATGCTTTACCAGGTTAGACCAGGCCCTCTGGACCACTTGGAAAACTCTGTATGGTTACTTGAAGGTGCACTAGAAGCAGCAACTACACAGTGGGGAGATTATGTGCCCTTAGATGTTATGTGCTATTGTAAAAAGTCTTTTCCATTTCTGCTGTCTTTGTCATCCAAGCCAGAATTGCCCAGAGCTCCCCAGAAAACCGAGGAGTAGCTCAGTTCCACAACACAGCTATGTTCACAGATGCATCTCAGCGTTCCATAAAGTGATTGAGCTTCAATAGGATAGCTGGCTTTGGCTGCCAGAATTTCCTCTGGAGCATTCAGTGCTCCATCAGGTTCCATACGTCTCTACATGCTTTTCTATGAAGCCACCTAATATTCACCTAATATTCACCTGTTGGAACATCAGAATTAGCCCAGCTGTGTGAACAAATTTTAGGTCCACTGCATATAAATGGTGGAAATTTTAAGAGATTTGTCATCATTTAAAGCCATAAATATGTTTTGTTTTTGTTAATTATACAGCCCTGCAAGATTTACAAGGCAGCACTGAATATTTCCTCCTCTTATGGAATGATACTGGCCATAACAACTCCAAGAAGATCCCTGCCAGTGAGAACCATGCCTTCATTGGAGCATTGCGGCCGAACACAGAATACCAGATTTTACTGCAGGTTTTCAATGGGATGCACAGCATCACCAGTGAGGCAGTGCATGTGACTACAGCAGATGGAAGTAGGTTTAGTACTGAGGGTAGCCTGGCTTAAAATCTGAGAATGAAATTGATTGAAGTTTGTTAGAGCTGAGATCAGTCATCCTTCCATTATGAAATTTCCTGTATAGAAGAGAAAAGGACTATAACGCTGAAATGCTTAAGTGCTGGTTGTCATCAGGTGGCCGATCAATAAAAGGTCCCACTGAGACAGCAGCACAAAGCTCTAATACTGACTACTAACCCACTTTGTTCTTAATCAGCCCTGTTTACTACTATCCATATACCCTGTCTGGAGTTGCATTCATGTCAATACATTGAGGAATTTAAAAAACAATGAGCATGTTTTCAAAAGATTGGCTCTGTGAAGCAGTGCACTTCTGATGTGACATTCAATGGTGGGACATTCCTGAGTCACCACAAATGAAAGGTGTAAATCCAGGCTTTGAGAGAATTTCCCTGTGACTCATTTCCAAGTCAGTTAGCAAGTAGGAGGGGGGCAGGGGGAGGAAAGAAAGCAACTTGTGAATCTGAAATGTGTTTGGAATGGCCTTTCTAATCTTTTTGGCTTTATAAAGTCTCATTATAAACATTATAATATCATTACCTCAGAAGCAAGTGTTCCAGGTCATTAGCAAAGCACTTTAAGTGGGGATTGCATTTCCTTTGCAATGCCAAAGGTCAGACCTCTTTTGTTTATGAAATAGAACTCACTGCAAGTGCAATTTTTCAACTGGTTAAGATGGACTTGCCAGATAAAAATAGGTCTTTTGCATAGCTATTTCTGACATGCTGAAATAATGTGTGTAATTTAAAACTAAGGAAGGGTTTTGTTTTAAAAAAGATGCAAGGCTTCTTCATTATCTATGGTAATCAACATCCAAAATCATTTACATAATAACAGTAATGCACATTGCTTCACATTGCTCAAGCTACAAGTCTACTAAACGCTAGTGATATGTCACATTTCACCAAGGAGAGCATTTTAGATTTGCTTCACAAAGAAAATTGCCATGGGGGTATGTGAAAGATGAATCCAGACCAAATAACTGTAGATGGGGCCACACAGATAAGTAGATAATTTATCATTGTGTCCCACTGGTCACATTGTTACTAAAGACCAAGGCGATGCTGGTGGTATACAGCGCTTTACCACCATCTCCCACTGTTTCTAACTGAGATTATAATAAGCCAATTTAGAAAGGGATACAGACAGTGATAACTCCATCAGAGGCAAGTAGATAAACTGCAGACACTTTGCTAAACCTAAATTCAAATCTGCATTTGGTTAAACAACTGCTTTTGCAGAGACAGCTGGAGTTTATTCAGTATCTTCCTTTATTTCTAGAGCCGGAGGGCATGTTCCCTCCAGAGGTTGTCATCATCAACAGTACAGCTGTACGTGTCATCTGGACATTGCCTTCAAACCCAAATGGTGTTGTCACAGAGTATTCTGTCTATGTAAATAATAAGCAATACGAGACTGGAATGAAGGAGCCTGGGTCTTTCCTTTTAGGGGATTTGTCTCCATTCACCGTCTACGATATACAGGTTAGAACAACATTCTTTCTCATTATGTATTACAAATACATACATGGATGTAGGGATATTAACAAACATCAGCATAGTAGTGTGCATGCATAACAATGTGCGTCTGTGTGTGACATACCTTCCTTGGTCTTTAAAGGAAGAATTCAGTCTACCTATCTACCTATTTAAGCATGGAGATAAGAACTACATATAAGCATTTATGGGACTATGTTTATCCATGTACACTATGTATGTAGAATGGAGGTGTCTGCTTTTGCAAATGCTCTTGCAAACTGACCTGCCCTGGATGACCCTAAAATTATACTTTGGATTTTTCACATCAGTTCTTGGCTCAAAAATATATTAAAATATGTGTAAAATGTATATTTTATGATAAAGTACTATTTTGTGAGAAAATGCATTCATTATACCCATTTAACTGCAACTGTTTGTGTAAGTTTTTAAAAATTACAGATTAAAGAAGCAGATTAAGTGGAATCCACTTAAGAACAATGAAAAATTGCAAAATTTACACAGATTGGAAATAAGCTGGTCAGTCCATCCCCAAATTCCACTGATTGAGCTGGAGTTCTATACTCACATACATAAAACTGGATTTACATTTCTTAATCTCTCTCTCTCTCTCTCTCTCTCTCTCTCTCTCTCTCTCTCTCTCTGTGTGTGTGTGTGTGTGTGTGTGTACACACATATGCAATGAGCCCACAGCAATGTTTAATTTTGAGCAGACATTTATTTTTATAGTGGCACAATGTATTCATAGTTTTCTCTTGTAAGGACATCAGACTATATTTCCTTTGATCCTGAGATACTGAACTTACAATATATATTACAAAGACACAAAGATCCTACTCCTACTCATTAAAAGAAAATTGCAATTGTTTTAAAAACATCAGACATGCATAATACATCAACCCAGACAAATAATGATATTGCATTCGTTAGCCTTTTATCATTTCCCCCCTCCTCCCTTCTCTTTGTGGAACAGGCTGTTCTCAACTAAGAAATCCTTGTCTTTTAAAAATACAATTAATATTTAAAACCTTTATTTTCCCTCTTTTCCTCCTCCTTATTTCTTTCCCTTTAGACTTTCCCAAAATCTAGATGTAATTTTCAGGTTCTCTGAATATATATTTTTAAAAAAGCTTAGAAATATTTTTCTATAATTTAATGGCATCCATTTCTTGAAGAGTATGTTGCTTTAATTGCAACTTTCCCATTTTATTTGTCTCACTCAGACTTGGCTAAGTTTGAATTATGTATGGGGTGGTTGTAACAGTAATCATGTATACTTTGTCCTAAAATTTGCATCCAGTTGCAACATGCCATAAATAAACGTCACCCAAAGGTACACCATAACAGATTTCTATGTTCCAGCCCCTCTGCAGCATCAGGCTCTAACCCCCATGAATACACATATGACTTTCCAGTTTCTGTATGGACACACATTTGTCTTTTCTCAGCAGAAATGCAAATTCCAAATGCTTTCACACCTTTGAGGCCTCCATATTAATTTAGTATAGGCATGTTATGTGTCCTGCAACATTAATCAGTTTGTTCTCCAGCTTCTATTTCAATATTAGCACCAAGATCTGTAGCACTGACTTATAACATAGAATCCAACAATTTAATTGCTTGTTTTGATTTTTTTTTTCATATAGCATTTCTTATTGAATCCTCACCTTCCTTAAACAGTTTCTGGATTTGTGTTTGGCTTGCTTTTGGCAATCATTTGTAGACATCTGTCAATGTATACTTTTGTACATTGAATGACCTCTTAGTTGCTAATGCAAAGGTGACATTATTAGTCTTCCTTTAGAGCTATTTAAAGTACTCTTAAGAACTAAAGGAGTCATATGTTGTCTCCTGTCTTCAAAGTTCATCAAACATTCATACTTCACCGTGAAAGCTAATTGTTACTATTTAGAAAAACAAAGAATCAGGTAGTTCCAAAAAGGCAAACTGATCAAAAACTGAGGAGTGTCCCAATCCTAAACATAGTATTTCGGAATGAATCCCCTGCCACTCATTTGAAATGAGTCCCCTGTGAAATGAGTATTTCCATAACTGCATAATCCTCTTTAGTGGGCACTAGTGAGGAAATGTTCCACATCTGCAGAATTAATCTTTAATTACAGAATACCTCTCCTTCATAAAATAGAATAGGGCCCTCTATGTTTGTGGGATAGGGAAGAGATAGGGAATTATTTGTTCCAATATAGTTAGCATTGTCGTATCAATTTTCCAAATTCCTGCACATTAACTTCTGTGTTTGTCCCCATGATTAACCATAAGCTAATAGCCTTAATTCTGGGATAGCCTCATAAAGAAATCCTGCACTTTTTTTGAATCAGAGCTTAGTTTGTGGTAAGCATGGTTTTATTTCATTTAATGCTGACTGAAATTCTGAGATAGGTAAAGATGAGACATGAACAGCATCAGCTGATATGTTTTGTCTAGATTCCTTCTCTAAAGGTACCGGGGAACCAGGGTGTACCTCCCATTCTCTTTCAGTATCTGGTGCATCTTGTTTTGTCTCAGATGGTACTGGATGTCCATGGCAAGGGCATAGCATCACAAGAAGGGGAGCAATCATCCATTCTTGCCCACAGTGGTTTCCTCAAGACCATGGAGCAGAATGCCCAAGAGACATTCATCATCATGATCAACAGCACCTTCTTTTATGCTTCCCAGGGGTCTATATAAAAAGTTCTCAAGTCATCTTCTGTATGAGCTCTAACCAGACCCATAGCAGAAGGGAATGGCTGAAGCAGTTGGAGTTAGGTGGGAATATCACTAATACCATGTTTCCCCGAAAAGAGGACCTACCCCGAAAATAAGACCTAGTCTTATTTTCGGGGTAGGTCCTATAATATAAGCCCTACCCCGAAAGTAAGACCTATTACCAAAAATTATTAGTAATAGGTCTTACTTTTTTTGCATACTTGCAGAGTGCCAACGGGGTGCAGAGGGCGCAGCGGAGGATGCAGAGCAGCTTAAGCCGATACTTCCTCTATAGTCCTGGCTCCTGTGAAGGGTGGAGTGATATCAAATGCACTCCGCCTGTCACAGGAGCTGGCGCTATAGAGGAAGCATTGGCTCATGCCGCTCTGCTTCCTCCACTGCCTGTGACAGTACCGGTAGCAGGTGCTGGAGAAGATTGGTGTATACAGCTTTTGGCAGCACTTGGAGTGCAGAGCAGAGGTGTGCAGAGCAGAAGGGTGCACAGCAGAGAAGTGCAAGCAGAAGGGTGTACATTAAATGTACATTTTGTACATTATAAAATAAGACCTACCCAAAAATAAGACCTAATGTGTTTTTTTGAGCAAAAAAAAAAAAGACAGTGTCTTATTTTCGGGGAAACACGGTAGTCCTACAAGCCATTCCTTAACTGTGGGCACACAGAGCCAAAGGAAAGAGGAGGGACCAGGAATTAGGGATTCCAAAGTTAGATGTCAAATGCGGAAGTAAGAGCAAGGTAGGAGAGGTTCAAGTGATTCACTGTTCAAGAGCTTTATTCCTGTGACTCAGCCTCCTCCCCTTCCTTCCAAGCAGATCAGGCAAAGCTCTTCCCATTTAAGTCTTCATAATGTTAAAACTTCCAGAAGAGGTAAGACTTTGGAATCTGAATTCTTCTTTTACTCAGTTTAAAATCCAAGCCAAAAAGTATTTCTCATCTAAATACCATCCCAGCTCACTTTTTCTGCCCCATGATAACAAGCTTTCATCCCAAAATGCAAAACATGTTGTGATTAAAAAAAAACAAACTCTACTTGAACCAAACAACCAGTGCCCTGTACTTAATCCAGTTTTTGCTTATTGTGATATCCTTTTGGTGTTCTATTTTCTAGAGCACTGTAGAAGGTTTCCTATTCTATTTCTGCCCAACCCAACCCATACAGGGATAAGAAATAGCTTTTGATCAACTATGAGCAGTAGTGTACAAAATATAGATTAACATCCCTGCCTAGACTTTAAGTCCTACCAACTTGAGTTGCTCAGGTAGATTAGAAACTAAGGTCAAGTTGCACAATCTGTAGCCTCTTAAGTGTGCTCTGAATTTGCACCAAATCCCCCTCCCACAGATTTTTCTGCTCACTATTCTATCCCTTCCTCAGAGATTCTCATACAGAAGTCTCTTTTCCCAGTAAAGGTGGAAAAAGAATAATCTGTATCAGAGTTACTGTGATGTGTGTGTACAAATGCATGTGTGTGTGCACATGTGTGTACAGGTACATATATGTACATGCATATGTGTGTAGCCTGAGATAATACCACGTTTTGAAAGTATATGCATCTCTGTATTAAGGAATAGCCATGTTTTCTTGCAATCTTCGTCCAGAATTGAAGCCTTTACCATTGCACTGAATTCAGTTGTGCTAACTTTGCATTCATCCTTTGCATTCAACCCTTTGACTTGTTTTTCTGAATAGTTAAAATAACATTTTTTTCATTCTACCTGATACAGGTTGAAGTCTGCACTGTATATGCTTGTGTACAAAGCAATCGAACACAAATTACAACTGTGGAGGATGAACCAAATGAGTTAGCTGCACCACAGGTTCATGTTCTCAGTTCAAGGTATTACAGCATTTTTATTTTTCTTAACTAAGGTGATAAAAGAAATAGACACTGATTTTGTTATTCCAGCTGTAAAACAGTTGGTGTTTTCATAAAGCTCCAAGATGCAGAATGAACAATGCAATGAACCATATAACGTTAGACCATTGTTCTAACTAGCACAGTATTGTCTAGGCCAGAACTGCACGATTTCTTTCAGCCTAAGGACTGCATTCCAAGGATGGACCAAACAAAAGTGATTGGGCCAAAAAAAAGTGGGGGCACAAGGATGTCAGTGTATTTTAGCATGGTGCTCTTGCTGCCAGTAATTAAGCCTGAAAGAATAGGGGAAAACTGTATAAAAGCCAAGAAACCACGAATTGACCCATGGTTGTAGGAAATGCCTGGGGACTGAGTCATGGTTTTCTTGGAGGGCTGGATGCAGATTCTGGATCTGAAGTTCCGTCATCCTGACCTTGTCTGTCTAGTAGTATCTAAGCAGGGATGAATGCGAGTTTTATTTCAATTTACTTGATATGTGGACTTGAACCCAAACTGTGGTCTGAATTTTTGTATGTTTCTGAGCTTGCAATGCATATAATTTAAAACATACGCAAACACACTTTAATGAGGAGGGGGATAAGCATTTCTTTTAAACTATGGATATTTGTATATGGTTTTTTTCCCTAACATACGTGCTTTATACACAGTTTTGAGTAGAGAATTTCATTCCAAATTCACTTTCCAAACAGAAATATAATTTTCAAATTCACCTATTAATTCAGAAACTATGTATTAGTTGGTTCATATTAAAATGTGATCAAAATAATTTTCTCCCCTATCTTTATATGCTGCATACGTGAGGATCTGAGAAGCCTTACTGAGCTTCACTGCAGATGACCTAAGGCCTCCAACATTGCATGGAACTGATGGTATAGTTTCTTGACATAGCCAAGATCTTGGGGTATGCAGGGCAAAATGTAAGATGTTCTTTAGGAACTCCTGCACAATATTCTAGGCCTCACCCTCCCATTTCCAAAGCAAAGGTGAAGGCCACCAGGAATGGATGGATCCTGAGTCTGGTATGTCACAATCAGATTCTGAAACTCTGGTTCAAAATATTGTAGGGAAATAATTTTAGAGCATTCCATTTTATTCACTGTCTGCTGAGTCAGCAGTTTAGCGCTTATTCTTTGTGTCATTTGTCAGTATGATAGGACAAAGCCAAAATGTTACTGGGGTGTGGGGAGAAGAAAGTTGTATATTTGAAATTATTCAGTGGATCCTTTTTCTCAAATACCTTGTCAATTTAATTTCTGCAATGAAGCAGCTTCTCTAGACTTGTTGGGGATGTTGTCAGGGTGTGTAGAAAAGTTTCTCAGTTTGCACATCCAGCTGCCCATAAACTTATTTATATATTTAATCAAGTGGATATGGACATAAGAAGTAATTGTAATGTAATTGTAATTGTAAAGTAATTGTAATGTGTAATTGTCCTCATCGGCAGCATGACAAATACTGCATTAGGATTCAAATCTGGATGTTGCAATATTCCCCAGTGCACTTCCACATAGGTACATTTGGCTTTGTATTCCTTTTTCTACCTTTTTCTTATTATAGGCAATGTTTTTGAAAGCAAAATGGGTGCCAGGCTGGAAAAACAACTGAATGGTGACAAATGTAGGCATCTTTTTTTTCCTAAAAAGATCCACAAGTGCCAATATTTCTGAAAAGAGAGGCTATAACTAATGGGCATTCATTGCCAAGACATTTATCAAAATTATGGCAACAATAAAATAGTTAGCCTCCTGCAATCGTGTTATTGTTGATGGGATTTTATTACACTTTTGGCAGAGATTGTGACTTAGCCTGTTTCTTGAAAAGGGGGAGAAACATCTCTGTTAAATAACTAAAAATCTAACATGTAAATCTTCAGACATATGCCAATAGAATAGATGTATTTCTGTAGTATTTCAAAGCAGCTTCCATCTCTTTGTATTTTTTGTTTGAATTTTGTTATTTGTCTATGCAAAATGTCATTGCAAGATGAAATAAACTTGTTCTTTTTCTGACATATAAACAAACCTATTCAAAGTTTGTTTGATCAGAATTCAGTTCTGCAATCCATATTTTCTCCTGGCTTACATGCCTTTGTTTGTAGTATAGGAAGCACTTATGCATGTCTTTGTTACTACATGCAAACTAAAAATGTCATAATACACAAATGCAAAAATAACAGAAATACCTGTGAGTTTTTATAATCTGCTCAGCTAAACAGACTTTCTCCATTGCATTCCCTTGCATGTCATATTATCATCAGCTGTTCTTATATCCCAAAAGAATACTAACTACTGATCGATTGCCCGGACATGTCTGGCTGTGGCCTACACATGCCCTGGGTAGTTCATTTATTTGCCACGGTGGATTTGCTAGAGTGGAATTTAATCAATAGCTAATTCATTAATTCTGGGCCTCGAGTATATAGGGACTGTGCAGTATAAAAATGGCTGGCCGGTTTCAACTTTGATTGAAATATGACAAACACTACAGCTGACAGCTTCAGCAGGTGCTGGCCTCCATGTGAATTTTTCTTATTTATTCTCCATCAAGGAATAGGTTCAAGGGGAAGCTAACAGACTGTATAAACAAGAAGACATTTTAATACATATCTGCCAATGGGGAAAAGTATTATTTCTAGGAGAGAGCCACATGGGAGGATAGCAATGCAGCAAACATCCTGCAACATTTTTTAAAAGAAGTAGAACTGTTGTAGCTCTTCTCTTTTTGAACCACGATATTATGTATGGGATGTTGTTCCTGTTGTTTTCCTGAGGGTGGGGATGAAGGAGCAGTGACTTTCAGGAAATGCTATAGTATTTATGGATCTAATAGGTTTCCAGCCAGTCATAAGGGGTTCTTTGGCCAGTGCTGCCAGTGACCCTCTCGTGTCCCTACTCAGAAAAGAGAATCAAGAGTTGACTAGGGCCTTAGACATGATTGCTTCTGATGTCTGAAGCAGGAAGGACAATGACTGGAGTGCTGATGGCAGAAATCTAGACTCATCTCCAACAAAACACTTTGTAGAGAGCATTGTCACTCCTATGGAGTGGCAATATGAGCAAAGAAAAAGGGTTTCTTATCTGCTCATATTGCATCTATAAATTCATGTCTAGCAGAGCTGTTTAGGTTGGTAAGGGATTTGTCTCAAGCCTCAGTGCTCCCTAACTGTCTTTAGCACCATCAGTTGTTCACTGCGACACTTTTAACAACCATTTTGTGGATAAAATTGCTCAAATAAATGCTGAGCTTCAGGTGATCATGGAGGTAGAGGTAGACACACATGTGTACAACAACCCTGTGAATGGGGTTATCCTGGATCAATTTCAATTTGTAAGTCCTGCAGATGTTTACACACTGCTTGGTCTGGTGAGAAAAACCACTTGCCCTCTCAATCCATGTCCATCTTGGCTGGTAGTCCAGGGAGTATAAGCACAGATGGAACTGTTATGCCTTATCATCAATGTCTCTTTCAAAGAGTATATGGTTCCTGCTTGCCTGAAGGAGCCTATTGTATGGTCCCTCCTCAAGAAACCTAATTTGAATGCCCTGAACCTTAACAGCTTTAGACCATTCTCAACCTTATCTTTTCTTTGTAAGGTGATCGACAGGGCAGTATCTTTCCAGCTCCAGGCAGCCCTGAATGAGACTGATTTTCCGGACCCTTTTCAAACTGGCTTCAGAGTGGGACATGGACTTGAGATGTCTTTGGTCTCTCTAATGAGTGGGTCCTCAAACTACAGCCCATGGGCTGGATCCAGCCTGCCATAGCTTGCTACGTGTGTGCATGCATGTGCACATGCATGACAAGGTGCCAGCTTGCTCACAAGATCGTTTTGTACTTGTTGGGAGAAAATGATCTCTGTGCACACATGCCCCTGCCTTTCTGTGTGCGCGCGCATGTGCGTGCCCCTCCCAGCCTGGCCTGCGTCCCCCCGCCCTCACCGCCTTGGCGGCCCGCACCCATCCCTGGCACCTTTCAACTGGCCCCCTATTCAAAAAGTTTGAGGACCCCTGTTCTAATGGATGATCTACAACTTAGAATTGACGGTGGGGGGGGGTGTATCCCTGTTGGATGTCTCAGCATCCTTCTATACTCTTGACCACAGTATCCTTCTGGATTGTCTGAGGGAGCTGGAAAATCAAGAGCCTTCTTTTGAGGGGTTCCATTCCTACATCTCGGGTCAGTTCCAGATCGTGATACTTGGCGACCGTTGCTTCTTTAATAAGGAGCTGACTTGTAGAGTCCCAGAGGGCTCCATTCTGTCTCCAGTGCTGTTTAACATCTACATGAAGCCACTGGGAGAAATCATCAAGAGGAGTAACTCTAGATGTTATCAGTTTGCTGATGACACCCAGATCTACTTCTCTTTACCATCATCTGCTGCTTCTTCTAGAGACAGTGTCTCCTCTCTGAATGACAGGCTGAAGCTGGTAATGGGCTAGATGAGGAAAAACCCACTGAAGCTGAATCCAGACAAAACAGAGCTGCTTGTTGTTAAGGGTCCAAATCCAGGATTAGAGGTGTGTCAACCAGTTCCTGATGGGGTCATACTCCCTGAAAGGTCATGTTCACAGTATGGAGATATTACTTGACCTGGCCCTTCAGATGTCAGTTTGGGTAGAAGTGTGGACAGCAGATTCACCAACTGCATCCCTTCTTGGAGGAGAATGACCTGAAAACATTAGTGCATGCATTGGTGAGTTCTAGGTTCAATTTCTGCAATGCCGTTTGCATAAGGCTACCCTTGTGCCTACCTGGGAACTGCAACTTGTACAAAACACGGCAACCAGAATGGTCTGTGGGACATCACAGAGAGACCATATGTCACCTATTTTAAAGTCTTTGCAGTGGCTGCCAATACAATTCTGGATACAGTACAAAGAGTTGGTAATTATCTTTAAAGCCCTTCAGGGACTGGGTCCAAAATATCTTCAGGTGCTCCTTTGCCCATACATTCTGT